CAGCAGCAGCAGCAGCAGCAGTAGGTTGAGCTTTCCGCGCAGCGAAAGAAATCAGCCAGGCGTTGGGACAGAGCAGGCATTTCAATGCCCGGAGCTGAAGCTCCTGATTTTCGGTCATCTCGAAACAAAGGCAACAGCATGCACCGTTCCGAACAACATCTACCCATGCATACCGCCAACTGCGCAAAAGTCAGCAAGTGGTGTCAGAGCTTCTTTCAGGCAGTAAAACAACACATAGCAAGCAAAAAATTGCGGATTGCTGATGTCACTCTGTCACTTTGCGTTTCGGCCGTCGTCACATCCCCAAAGTCCTTCCTGCACCAAGCAAGCAGTATAGTGTCCAGAGTTCGGGGTGAATCCATGATGCTCAGCACGTGGGACTTACTCGGGTGAGTCGACTTGGTGCCTCATTATCCGAAAGACCGGCATCTTGATGCTGGAGTCAATCTGAGCCTTCACATGATTCTTGATGATACGTCCTTTGATCTTGTGGAATCGATGCAGTTGTATGAAGATGGGTGGGGGCGCGACCATAAACCCATGCATGCAATCCAGCCTTCATCAAGATGTCGTTATCGCCCCTGTCATTGCCGGCCATCGAGCTGGCCATGAACCTGCAAAGACACCAAGATCAGACTTTCGAAGCATGTGTGAGAGGAACTCGCATATATCGTGTTGGCGGCGGATCCTGAATCAATGAGATAGATGTAGTGGGAGGGCGTGTGAGCACGTCAACTTACAGGTGAGTCACATCACTCTGCAAAGAGTAAAGTGGAACTTTAAGATGTTCAAGAAGCCAAAGGGCACTCTGCGCGGCAGCATTCATGTAACATTGTGACCCGCTGTTGGTGAAGATTATGTGTGATTGCTTTGTTTTGTATTCTTGTTTTTCCAAATCTGTTTTTACGTGTTTCTATCTGATCTTATTTGTCTGTAGTGGTCTTTACTTGTGATATTTGTCTTAATTTCTTTTATTGAATTAAACCATCTTGGTGGTGGTGGTGGTGGTGGTGGTGCTCAGAGTAGTAGTGGTAGGTTCAGTGGTATTTAGTGATCCGCTTAGAGGTAGTGGTAGTGCTGGTGCTTCTTCCTTAATTCAGGTCTGGATGCGAACCTGAAAGCAACCTTGTACAACAATGTGCCGAACCCAGATGCCAGCTGTGCGGCACATCTTTGTCTTGTGCCGAGGCGAACGACACAAGTTCGGAAGTTCTCCCTTCCGACACACAGGGCCACAGGCATTACACAGGCCCCAAACCTCCCTGACCTGGCCCTACCTCCAGAGAACTAGAGAACTGATGAACATCTCGCAGGCGGATAGCAGTTTTCTATCAGCAGCCTGCTTCGTAGCACCACGACCACCATCCTACCAATTCTGCACGCCTCTCTGGCCACAAGCTAGAGCTTGAATCCCACACACGACACACGAAAGCCCTAAGCTCTAAGCGCGAAGCTCCAAGCCAACGGATCCCTGAAAAGTGGCACCCTCTGGAAGTCTGCAGGTACTCGAGGCGGCCACTAAGGCGCTGTCAGAAACCATGACTTTCATGAGCAATGTTGTCAGGTTGACGTGTTGCAACTGGCGACTAGTGCTGTTGCAATTTTTCAACTCTTGCTGTCGTTGTTGCAACTGTATTGTGGCGAGCATGAGAAGTGTCTCGTTGCCATTCTGACAATGGAGAGATGTTTTCTGGCAGGCTGACATGAGCGCCTCGGTGCTGAAGGTTATGCAGCAGATGCGACATCGACGAGTCCGGGCCTTCTGGAAGGGGTGTTACACCACCGCAAAAGTGTCATCTTCCGACGGGTCATGAGAGTTTTGATCCCATGAGGGCATTTGGCCGCAGGTCAGCACAGCACAGACTCATCAGAAATCCATCGCCGGGCCCTCGCAGACGCCTGTGCTTCTGTTCGTCAAACAATTGAATCCTGAGGGTACGGCAAAGGAAGTTCAGTTCCGATACGGGGGCTTTTTGTGGGACCAGAGCAGCTCCCAAGAACTGTGCAACTCTTTGATGTCCTCTCTGAACAGGCAAGCGCGTTGCTGGATGAGAGCGGACAGTGAAGCTGCGAGGAGTACTGAAAAGGCGCAGTTTTCGCAGGCGTGCCTACCTCCATTGACTGCAGATGCAGAAGCTGCAAAGTGTGGAGTTGACTCGCCGAAGCACATTCGATTCACAATACAGGTGCTTCGCATGGCTGCTACTCGTGCACGGTGCCATTGGTAGAAGCTGCTTTGGCCCCCATTGCACAGATGCAGACCCGAAGTGTCCCTGGAAGAAGCAGATGGAAGCATTCTTGAAACGGGATGCCTGTTCAATTCTCGCGCCTCTGCCATGCTGGTGGCGCGGCGGTGGCAGCCTTCTGGCTGTATGACATCGGCACTCGAGAGTGGTCCGTGCGCCATACCTGGCCCTCTGCACTCACGCAGCTTCTCAGCTAAAGAAGGGCGACTTCACTCACAAGGCAAACTGCAAGCTGGTCAAAAAAATTGCTTGCAGCTGTTTGCACCGCGGTTCTGAGGTACTTCAGCTCTTGGTTCCTGGCGGCCTATGGAAGGCGGCAGCTCCTGCGCCTCCGCCACGAGGCAGAGAGAGGTGAGGAGGCCGCGGAATGTCATACCGCAGATCGTTCTTGCATCTTATCAAGTTTCGGAGTGTCGTCACGTGAGCTGAGGTGCCGCAGGCATCCTACAACTTGATGGTAGGGCTTTCGGCTGGCACCCTCCCAAAGCTGCACTATCACAATGCTGCCGTTGACGATGATGGTGACGATGGGCGGGATCATCATGATCATAATGATGATGATGATGATGATGATGATGAAAGTGATGGTGAGGATGATGGTGATGGTGATGACGGTAATTATGATGACGGCATTGGGCAGGGTACTACTCCTCCTGCTACTAGAACTACTACGACGACTGCTGCCCCTACTGCTGCTGTTACGGCGACGAAGACAACAACAACAGCAACACCAGCAACAACAACAACAACAACGACGACTAGTACTGCTTCTACTGCGCTACTGCTACTGCTGCTGCTGCTGCTGCTGCTGCTCCTGCTGCTCCTGCTGCTCCTGCTGCTCCTGCTGCTCCTCCTGCTACTGCTAC